AGGCCAAGGTTCTCTCACTCCAGCTCAGAGCCCAGAGGGGAGGCCTGGTCTCCTTCATTCATCTTCCAGGCAGAATGCAGCACTTGTGTTCAGTCCTTCCGGAGAGACCCAAGTGAGAAGTATATATCATGGTTTTTAATGACTATTTTTGGACTCTAGCTTAAAGAAACAACTCTGAATCCAGATTGTGTATTTTGAATTCTTCACAGTGTCATTGCAATAGAAGGAAATGTCTTCCGGAATAGCGGTCAGCCTGAGATGGAGCTTTGCCTGCAACCTGCTAACCGCTATTAGTTTCTTCACAGCAAGGATTACTTGGGGCTGCACATCTGTGTACACTGATGTCTGAGGGCAAGACTTCTGTTTTGCTCATCCCTGGTCCTCTAAATTTAAGGGAATTACATATGCTAGCCCTTGATAACCACCTGCAGGAAGAAAAGCCATGTGGTTGAAATCTTGCTATGTAGTCAGGCGACTCAAAACTAATGTCACTCTTGTGTCTGCCTCTTACATGATGGGTTTACAGGCCTGTACCCCCATGCCCACTCTGCCTAGGTTCCTACAAGATGCACAATCGTCTGTCCCCTCTCTGCAAAAGTCACTGCAAAACCACAAAGGAGAACTTGGGTTGAGAAAAGGCCTCCTTGTTTTATAGCATCACTTCCAACAGGGCAACTTTCAAAGATCATCCTCCTTCAGATGTGACAGGGAGAAGAAACTCACCGGTCAATTGTTGTGCAAAGAGTCACAGTCCTGGTCTTGGATAAGAGGATTCTTCCTATAGTAAGTCCCTCCCCCCACGTCATTCCTCCTCTCAGGTTTAGAGCCTGGACAAATGACCTGAGCCAGTTGGTGATGGATGGTCCAGCTCATGTCCTACAAAGCCAAAGCCTGGCTCTGGGAGGCCATGTCCTCGAGAGATCCCAAGCTGGCTAGGAACGTCAAGCACTCTACACCTCTTTGGAGCCCCATACCTAAAGTTCTCTCCAGCTACTGTGATCTAGGAAGTGATAGTGAGAGGGCTGCCATTTACTGATGTACCTCTCAGGATGGTGATGTCCTGTAATGAATCCCATGTGGCCACAAGTCTATTAACTTCTTCTCACTGCCTCTACTCTCAGGGCCTGGCTGTCTGCTTGGGGCATTTGGTGCTGAGTGAGGTAGTGTTGACTTGCAGGGACTTTTCTCAGCAGCTCCTGGCATCACCCAACTCCCTGGACCAGTGGTTATCAACCCATGGGTTGTTACCATTGGAAAGCATACATATCCAATGGTCTTAGCAACCCCAAACCATAAATGTATTTTTTGTTGCTACTTCATAGCTGTAATTTTGCTACTGAATGGTATCTCAGTTCCTAAGGCCATAGGAAGTATGGTTTCCCATGGTCACAACCCACAGGTTGAGAACAACTGGGTCTGGACAGTGCTTCTGAGAAATTCAGGGAGCCTCCACACTTGGCCTTTCAGCTTTCAGAGAAAGTAACACTTCTGAAGAGTCTAGAATCAGCCAGTCCTGTGTTGTTGGGCCATCTAATTCTCACATGATGTTCTGGGGTTAAATGGTGACCCTTATTTCCCCAACTGATGCTCAGGGACGCTAAATAACTTTGCTAAGGTCAAATGCTCCTATGTCATTGAACCCCTAAAACAAAACAAACAAACAAAAAACAAAACAACTAAGATTATAACAGTTAAGGCAAGGGAGTGTGGATGGCTACAAGCATTTTGTCCCTCCATGTGCTTTGTTTGACAAGTGCAATTGGAGAGCTGGCTGCCAGTCACTCATATTGTACAAGGAATTAGACAAAAATATTTCTATCCTGACAGCTCCCTAGGATCCACCATCCCAGTAGAAATTGGGGTGGGGATTGCATTCGTTTATAGGATTGTGTGAGGAGTTAGCCAGAAAGATCTCCTCCCTGATAGATGTCTAGGACACAGGAGCCCATAAAAGCTTTTAATGAATGGAAGACAACTGATGAGGGGATTATTGGAGCTGCGGGACAATCAGGTGAGGAATGAAGATGCTGTAGTCAGGCTTGGACTGGTGGGTAGGACACATTATAACAGAACAAAGTCTGAGGAGATCAAGGCAGCCACCAGGTCCTGTCATGGCTGACGATGAGTTAAGAGCACAAGTGGAAGCCCCCTGGGCTGCTATAACCATCATGGGGAAAGCTCGTGTAAGGACACCTGTGGGAGCTAAGGATGTGTTTCTAAGGATGCCACACTGAACTTGAGAATCAAATGGTAGAAACGAGGCAAGACAGGAAGATCAAGAAAAAGAGCCACTCAGAGGGAACAGTGCATGATGACACCCTGAAGGGGAGAGAAGTTTACAAGATCAAAAGTGTGTTCAGAGGCAGGGGAGGTACAGCATGGGACAGAGAAGGGGAGACAAAGAAGGTGAGCTGGGGAGGCAAAAAAAAAAAAATGGCTCAATGATGTCATTCCTCCAGGCCTGTAAGACGCACCCTCATTCACATACCCAGCCATGTATGTGCATACACATGGAGTAACACACAGATACAAACAAACACAGATATGAATATACATACATAATTGTGTCACAACACACTGCCATCTGAACTTAACACACTCAAATGCCTCTGCACATGCAAATGCACAGTCACTCCCATATATCAAACACATTGACATTTGTAAAACAGTCAGGTACATTAATGCAATTACCTGTACACATGTACTTAACAATCACATGTGTACTTATACGTGCATGTAAATTTGTGTGGACATACATATATACATAAAAGCACACGTGCAGTTCTCCTCCAACATGTTATCGACACTTGAAAACCCCTGCACATCTGCACAGGCAGAAATGCATGTGTACTTACGTGTCTATTCACGATACACAACATCACAGACACACATTCTCTACACATGTGCCTTGTTTCATAAACACACAATACATGTATGCACGTCTACCTAGTGACATATGACTTTGTGTGTGTGTGTATGCTGTATAAAATCTATAACGATCCCTGCTTAGACAAGCTCCTGGCCACAGATAAACTTCTCTCCTGGTTGGTTATAATCTTTCATTGGAACTGACACATTGATAGCCCCAGTTTCTCTAGGAAGTGACCTTCATGCTGGCTATTGATTTCCAGTGGCTATCAGGCGCCTGCCACTGGAGTGACAGGCTCGGTCGGAGGTCAGCCCTTAAATAAAGTTCCTGGATTACCAAGCACCAGCTACACCAATGAAAATGGAAATTGGCAGCCCTGGCTCATTTTTATGGGATGGACTCCTTCTGATGGGATTTCAGCCATGTGTGGCCCTTCTGTTCCTACATCACAGGCCAAGTGCCATGTGTGCCCAAGGGTGCCTGTTCTGTGGAGGATCTTGCTTGAAGGTTGTTGGGGGTTGATGTGTGGTGACTGCTAGGGCCTAATGCTCTTGCAAAGTCTTGCATTCTGTGACAGACAACAGTGTGGATCCCACATTCCATGAGTGACTTAATTTGCAGTCTTGGGCAGGTGGTGTCAACTTGCTGGGCCTCAGCTATTTTCCCCTGTCCACACCCCATCTGCTATCAGTGTCTTTTGCCATTTCACAAGGGCGTGGCTCCACGTAAGGAGCTGACAGTATTGGGTGTGTGCTGAGTTGTGTACAGTTTGTAGGAGAAAGTGGGGTATTGTATTTTAACATCAACATTACCAACCACAAGACATCACTTAATTAAACCTTTTGCTAATTAAGTCCCTGGGGTTGTGGCAGCATTCAGGGGTCACTGGGCAAGCAGAGGCATGGTGGGGTAGAGGCTAAAGAAATGTTCTGGATTTCAAATCATTACGTTTTACTTCTGCCTTGCCTGCTTTTCAAGGCCTATGACAGCCTGAACTTCTCCTCAGACAACAATCAAATGTAACAGATAAAACTTAGCATGGTTGGACAGGCCTTTAGTTTCCCCAATTGAGGAGGCCAGGTCAAGAGAAACTCAACTTAAAATCCATATGAGGCTACCCAGTGAGATGAGCTCACACACACACACACACACACACACACACACACACACACACACACACACACCAACAAAACAAAACAAAACAAAAAAAATGAAAAAGAGAAACCTAACAGCAAAACACATCCAGAGATGCTTCAGACTCAATCAGCATCTGCACCTTCTCAGAGTGCAGTTCCTTCTATCCTCTCCATCTGTGTAAATGCCACCTCTGGTCTCACCTTAGGCAAGCCAGCCTCTTCTGCAGTGCCAGACCCCACTCCACACGATCCAGGAAGCCACTGAGTGTTTGCGTCCACTGGGTATCACACAGCACATCTGACCTTACATCTGAACACGGCATGAATAATTGCCACTCAAACATGAGTTTACAATAGCAACAAGCAAACCTTGGCTTAGGGAAAGCAGAAAAGCCGTCAGCCCCCAGTCTTCTAGCATTGTTTGGTAGTAATAGATGCCCCTTTTTTTGGTCTCTATGCTTCTTTCTGCTTTATGTATTTCTCCAGGACAGGGGTTGTTAGCTGAGGCATGTGTATCCTGAAGGAAAGACAAGCAGAAACTAGGATGTTTGATAAAATCAGGAAAGCAAGATTTGCTGGTGGATGACGAAGGTCAGAGAAGCTGTCTGTGCTGAAGGGATAAAGCCCAGCAGCATGGCTGGATACCCCAGGCTAGACCTTGGCTACAACTTGCACCTGTAGTGAGACCAGCAAGGTCATGACATGCTAGACAGCAAGTGGGCCATGCAATTTTGGACAGTTTCACCAGCTGATATATAAAACCGTTTACTGCTCCCTCTAGAATCCACATGACAGATCCATCTAGAGACAGGTTCTCTTGGGACCAGCTTGTTTTATAGAATATGAAAGATGTTCAGAAATTAGCCACTCATTTCTAAAGAGGACCTGGGGTAACTTATAGTTAAGGATACATGGGCAGTTGTTAAAATAGCAATAGCAATTATGTTTCTATTTTTTTTTGTTGCTGTTGTTAATTCCAACATTTCATTTCTTATAGAGACTCAATCTCCTAGTTTGTATGAACTGGGAAATACTGTGCCCCTAAAGTCCTCTATCAACCTGGTAAGTGACAGAAATCTTAGAGAATGATGTTTTTATGCATTTCTCTGCCTGGGGATCTTCTTAAACAGCCAAAGGAGAGGAACCAAGCTCCTCCCGCTTTCCTGGGTCCTGTGGTTCAGTTATGGTAGAAAAGGGAAGGGTTTGCTCCAGGGTATGGAGAGGGGAGCCCTAGGGAAGACAGGGATAGAGAAGCATGTGTGGGGTAGTAGAAACAATAGCAAGACATGATTCAAACATCCTTGGTTCCACTCCAAGTATGCAGTCAGAAAACAGAGGGGCTAAGCAGCTGGCCTGGCCAAACCCTTGAAAGGTGAACCGGACACAAAGTCAGGACAAATCCAGCACCAAAGTCTGGAAAAACTCATCTTTCAAACCCAGTCAATTTGCTGCTGAGCAGCCTCAAGCCAATCACATCCCTTCCGGAACCATGGATTCTCTATCGCAGAGGTCAGGAATTCCCATGGTCTCTCTATACAGCTCAATAATGTCTGATGCTTGGGAACATCCAGGTCGGTCATGGTCATATCTTAGCTACCCACTGCCAGATTCATGTCACAAATAGGGACAGCTAGCAGTTCCCAAAGACAGTGATTTTGTTCCTTTCCCCTGGGAACAATTCAGTGGTGTCTGGAATGATTTTTGGTTGTTACATAGGGGACAGAGTGAACCTGTCGATATGGAAGGTGGAAGTCAAGGATGCTGCTAAAGACGTGCATGGGGCAGCTCCGAGGCAGAGTCACCTGACCCCGCACGGCAGTGATGACCAAGGCAGGGGCCCTCCTATAAGAGATGCTGTCCCTCTGTCTCCTCTCTGTGCTCAGTAAACAGCCCTGAAAACTGTTCATTTCTCCAACAGAGCAGACTCAAGCTGCATAGGGAGAGGCTGCCTGCCTCCCCTCACCCTGAGGCCGTTCAGCCAGATGGCAGAGGGGTCAGCAGCAACCAAACATCTAATGACGTGTGACAAGTGTGGCCAGACAGCAGGCCCAGGCTGGGCCTCTTGGAGGCCACTCATTGGGCAAGGGGGACTCATAAATAACAACATAGTGACAGCCGGACTCTCGCTCAGTGGGAGAAATGAAGCCCCATCACCCTGGCTCCTGGGCAGGGCTTCATGGGGCAGACTCCATCCAGCAGGAGGGCAGGAGGACAGCCAGGAAGAGAGGCTGAGCACCCCATGCCAGACTTAAGGGGCTTGTCCCTAGAGCAGCTCTCCTGACGGTGACTTTGCTACATGACTCTCTCCTTATAGATTTCTGACTCAGCACAGCTGGGCCTCCAGACTACCCCTCAGTCACTATTTACCCAAAGTGGCAAAGTGATGAGGTAGGGAGCTTGCTGGTCTCTGGCATGAGTCTCAAGCAGTTCAATTTGCTAGAGGCTATGGAACCTCCATCTCCTCATCTGTTAAATGGGGGCATCAGAGCAGCAGATATGCTAATTTATGGAAAATTATGTACAAAGCAACAAATTAATGGAAGGGATGATAATGATTATGATTATTCAATCATTCGGGAGAAAATAATTTATATTTGAAAAAATGTACCTTCTAATGCTCTAAAAATATTAATCAGTTTTAAAGTTTTTAGGCAGCTCCAAATAGGCTTTTTGCAATAACAATCGTAATAATGATGCCTATATTAAATAGCACTTTTATTTTCACATTTGTTTTCTCCAAGCCTCATGTGGCTTAAAATGGGACCTGCTTGCAGTGATGCGTGTTCTTCGAAAACAAAAGTGGGAAGGCTGAGCTGCACGCACAGACAGACTTTGTTGCTGATTGGAGTGCCCTTCAGAAGGTACCTGGGGCCCCAGGTGAGGCTAGTGCCTTAACGCACAGCATTGGGCTCTCAGTTCTGTCATTTGCAAAACCGACATAATGATTTCTTCCTGACCTCCTCGGGACTGCTGTGTCAGGGAGCCCAGGCACCTGGAAGTCGTGTAGTAATGGAAACATCGCCCAACAAGGGAGTCAGTACCATGATCATTAACGTCGTCGTTGCTATTCATTGTTATTCATAACGATGCTTGCGATGAAGCGTCTCCAAAGGACCGCTGCGCGAACTGGCTTTGCAAAGTTTTACAGAAATGCATCAGATGAAGAACCCAACCCCCCTGGACATCCGCCCACCCCTCCCCCAATCGAAGCTTGCTTCTGCAGATCTTCGGGCTCTCCTTTTATTTCAGGCCTCCCCACCCCCAAAGCAGGCCTTGCACGTCTTCCGTAGAAATGGCTCCTGTGGCTCAAGACCTCGGATGCCAGTTTTCAGCCAGGAGCACAGTTTTGCAGAGAGGGTTATAAATCAAAACCTGGGTCCTAATGAAACATCTGACAGGACGCTAACTGTAACAGAACGCACCCGGGCGCCACTTTCGGGAAATGAGAGGCAGGAGCAGGGTTCGAGGGGTCCGATGGAGCGAGGGGGCCAGCTCAGCCCCCCCTTCTTCCCTTTGTTTCATCCTGTCTTCCCCGCCCCCTTCCTTTATCATCCCTACAGAATCCCTGAGTGCCGCTGTCCTCTGTAGCTGCCCTCGGAATCAGCCTAGTGGTTGCTAAGCTGCAGACCCTGGTGGTTTCTAAGCCAAACTCCTGCCTAGCTCTCCACCTAGGAGTCCTGTCATGATGAATGACATCTGGGGCGGGGGACGGGGCTTGCACAGAGACTGGTGAAGGCAAAATTCTGGGTTCAGAGAGGACCTTTCAAGTCCTGGCCCGTGTCTGGCCATGTTGGGCCTGGATTTGCAAAGTGAGGACAGCAACCATTGCTCCCACGCAAGGGGGTGTGGAAGATGTAGCTCACCAAGTAGCCGTGAGAGTCCAAAGGGACCGAGGACCAGGCAACCTGAGCTGCTAAAGGACCTTCCTCTCTGCCCTCCCGAATGGGCTTTCTAGTCAGTCCGGTTTCACTCAGTGCCGTAGGTACTTCCGGTTTGATGTCAGTGAGCTCTTTACCACTTCAGTCATTAACTTGGCCTTAGCAAGTCACCTGTGCTGAAGTGTGCCTCATCTGACACCGCTACCTGTATGGATGGCACTCTCCTTAGCTCACCTCATGGGAGAGCAAGCACCACCCACCTCTGCACCACCCGAGGCAGAGGTCCTAGTAGGAACTCAGACCCTGAGTGGATCTCCAGGCCACTGACTGGGGAGTCCTACGTTACCCCAGAGCTCTCCCAGGAGACCCAGCTCAGTCAGACCTGCAGTTTTGCTGTTCTGTCACTCAGCTGCCCCAGAACAGAGATACCGTTCTTCCCAGCTAGGCAGCAAGTCTCCTGAGGAAGAAGCCACGCCCGAATTCTCCGAAGGACCTTGCTCCATCAGCTTCACAGTTCTGTTACCTTTTGTCTTTCTACCAACAAAGGCTTATTTTTTGTTTGTTTTGAGATAGTGTCTCACCACGTAGCCCAGGCTGACCTCTAACTTATGATCTCCTGCTGTAACCTCCCCAGTATGGAGACTGCAGGTGAGAGCCACCGTGCTTGTGCGTGGCTAACAATAAGGGTTCTCTCTGAGAGGCCTATTAAATGTTCACAGAAGGCCAGCCGTTGGTCTGTTCTCGGCCCCTTCTGCTCATACTCCATTGGCCAGAGCAGGTCACAGGGTCAGCACAGGCTGGGTTTAAAAACCCTTTCATTTAAGGTGAACTCACCGGGCAAGGGTCTGTCTTGGTTAGCCCAAGGAAGCTCGAGGTGATCCAAGTCCCTGTCCCCTGTCTCCCTTATGCATGTGTGCAGGTCCCCAGCAGGTGGAGGAAGCTGTCTCCATATGACCTGAAGTCGCTGCTGACTCTCAGAAGCTCATCTTGCAGCTCATATTCCTGGGATCTTTTTTTCCCCCACCTGTTCTGACTTTTGTTAGCAGAACATGAATTTCTCGCTGTCTTTCAGAGTCTTTATTCACCAAACAGAAAGAAGAAAGTTTTCACAGCACAGCTGGGTCCTTAGCCAGGGGCCGGGCAGTGGGGAGAATTGGAGGCTGGGCAGAGGGGCAGAGGCGGGAAGAGTCAGCCGCCAGGAAGAGCAAGCTGATGAAGTCCCCGAGGTGACTTGCAAATCTGCTGAAATCCTGAACGAGCTTTGATTTAACCCAAGCTTGAAACGGCTTTTATTTACTGTCTATTGTGGAATAAATGACATCTCATAAACAGGCTTTATCCATTACCCAGAATGGAGAGCTCCGTGTTAGGGACATTTTACCCTCTTGATATCAAAGGAGGTATGCCTGGGTGTGTTATCACAAATAGAAAAATCAATGCCAAGGCACACACAGCTGAAATTTCATTTTCATCCAACAATATTTTCCAAGGGGGATAAAAAGACAGCTGCTCATAAAAATGACCCCAGACCAAGGCTGGGCTGCCACAAACTGCATGAATGGGTCTAGCTCTGCTCTTTTCTGAAGCCACCCAGGGCCAGCCCCAAACGGCCTCCCAGATACTCAACCAGGCCTGACCAAATGTTGCCCATGTACCCAGAGGCTGCCTCTCTGTTCCTAGGTCCCCACCCCAACCATACTTAGACACAAGCTTCATAGAAAATACCAGAACTATCAAAAGGCCTACCTTAAGAGAAGGGTGTTTGAGTCTCCCACGTATTGAGTGAAAATGAAAGACCCCCATGGAGCAGAGAATGGTGTGCAAATTCCAAGGGAAGGCCTGGTCCCTGCTTCTACTGAGTTGAAGCCACATCTCTCTACATCAGTCCTCAGAAAAAGGGAGGAAATAAATACTCTTAATTCTTCATAAAAATTTTCTTGTCTTCAGCCCACAGGACTCCATCACACGGCATAACCATGTATGGGGTGGTTTCCTGGTTTGCGGTGTTATTTCCCCCTGAGGCTGTGAGCTCAGTGGAGCTTCAGACCAGCCCTGATGCTCTATTTATATTTCCAGCGCTGAGCACAGCACTCGGTAAATAACAGCTGCGCAAAAAGTGCATGTTGACTTCAAGAGATAGACAGTCCAGGGCGGCCAGAGTCGGGGGGATAAAAAGACTGACTGGATGCTCGAGCTGATGATGGCCATATATGGGCCAGCATCTGACACCCTCCCCGAACATGGGTTCCTGAAAATAATTCTGGGAGAGAGCCTAGTAATAACAAGGGGTGCAGTCTGACCATCATCCCAGAGGCAGCGCCAGTGACTGTTTCTTTCACTAGGTGACTAAGAAGAATCTGGTGTGTCGAGTATAAAGATTCAGGCATTATGCTGGCCTGCCCCTGTCACCTGGCAGAATGCAGTCAGGCAGTACCCTGGTCAGCCCAGGGTTCCAAGATTGCTGAAGTCTTCAAGCAGGTGCAAAGGACCCCTTTAAAAGAAAGACCCCGCCCACTTACGCTCTCTTTTCCAGCTCTTTCCCTGCTCATCTCTCATTCTCTTTCCAGCTGTTCCCCTGGGGCAGACAGGACTTTTCCTGTCTCCCTCTTCTCTTCTGTCCTCCCTATCTCTGTGTCTCTTTACCTCTCTTCTCTTTCCTTCCCCCTCTTCCCTTTCTAATAAAAATTCTCACTAAGCTCTGTCTGCCTGGCATGTTTGTCCCCAGCCTCTGTCATCCTCGCCTGCCATGGAATCCGCCATGGTCCCCCCAACTCAAGGTCCCCCTAAAGCTTTATCATAACATCGTGGAGACAGGGAGAGCATCTGCATGGTTCAGATGGTATTTTTGCTGTTCTAAAGGAGGAGGGCTCTTGTTTTCTTTACTGCTTTGGCTCAGTCGAAGGCACTGAGAATCAGAACTGAGAAAGGCATTTGGGGAAGAAGAGTCCCTGCGTGGTGTCCCCTGCTCCCATAGAGACGTGGGCTGTCTGTTCTTTCCCGAGTGTTTCATAAGGGACTGAGAGAACAAATGAAGCCAATACCACCACCGCCACAGCCGCCCGAAACCAGCGGCAGTATTTAAATAAGGCTTCAGTGGGAAGGCAGAGTCTCCTTGGACTTGGTCTATGATGTAGTTATCAGGAGGAGAAATTCGCAGAACCCATTACCTGTCGCTCTTTCCCCCAGGAAATCCCTTGTTTGTGGAATGTGAGTCTCTGAAGCTTTCGCATAGCACGCTTTCTCTCCGGGTTGTCCTGGGCAAACATCTGTCTCGCTGTGTGTTTATAAGAAGAGGCATTTGTGCCGTTGATTGTTTAGAGGTTTGTGCAGAGCGCATGTGCTCTTTCTCTCAGCCTTGCCCCACACTCCTCCCCCGCCACTGTCCACGCTCTGTGCAAGCAGCCCCCACTGTTCACCGTGGCCCTTTTAACACTGGAGTCTATCAGTGGCCCGAGGGCAGGGGATGTCTGTAGGGAGAGATCATGTACCCTTGGGATATGGTCAGTGCTGCGGGTATGTGACTAGAGGTCTAGTCCACGACCTGCCTGCTCCTCTTGGCATGGTATGTCTTCACTATGTTCTTATCATTATTATTTATGCCACAGGAAATTTTCAGACATTTCCTGTGCAGAATGCTGAATTGGGCAGGTGAACTGTTGGCGAGGTCCGGCCTTGTCCAGGAGTTTAGGAACTTAGGGAAGAGGCAGAATCAGCAACATTCCTCATTTTGTCTTCATCCACATGGGGCATAGGCGAGGCAGGGAACTGGCTACTGGCATCTTAACCAAATAGGAAGTCCCATCTGAGTCCTTGGATAGTTCAACCTATATTTGGACCAAAATTTTCAAGCATTTGCTTTTGAAAAAGAATGTGACAGAAGTTGTCCTTCTATCATCCCAGGTCCTCTCCCTGCATCTCTGACCTGGACACCGAGGAGGGTCATCAGAGTGGACCCATTATAAGCTAAAACTCAACAAAATGCCTAGGGGCAGAGGGAAGGTTATTGTCATTCCAAGTGATGTCAGCAACACATGAGAAAATCCTGTCATTAAGTACTTAGTAGGACCCTAAGAGAGATATGCATGGTAACCCAGAGAAGGGGAACAGGACAGGACAGAATCTTCTGAGGGGATTGGGAGCAGTGGGGAGGGGTGAGGAAGCTAGGAGAAAGAGAGTGGGTGTAGAGCAGGAGAGAGGAGGACGTGGAGGAACAGGAAAGTTGAGTAGGGGGAAGAATAGAGGAGAGAAAGATGAGAGATACCATAATAGAAGGAGCCATTATAGGTTTGAAGAGAGATCTGGTGCTAGTGAGATGTCCAGAGGCCTACAAGGATGACACCACCTGGCAATCTACCTTACATGCCCCTCCCTATAACATGATTGACCACTTCCTTGTGTGCCATCCTAGAACCTTCATCCAGTGATTAAAGGAAGCAGAGGCAGACACCCACAGCTAAACACTGAACTGAACCCCTGAAACCCAGTTGCAGAGAAGGAGGAGTGATGAGCAAAGGGGTTATGACTTGGCAGGTGAAACCCACAGAAACAGCTGACCTGAACAAGGGGGAGCTCATAGACCCCAGACTGACAGCTGAGAGGCCAGAATGGGACTGATTCTGACCTCCTGAATGTGGGTGTCAGTGAGGAGGCCTCAGCATCCTTTGGGGCCTCAGGCAATAAATCAGCATTTAGCCCTGTCATCCAGATGGATTTTGGGAGCCCATTCCATGTGGAGGGGTGCTGTCTCAGATGACTCTCCAGAGCACAGACAAGCCTGTCTTGGATTCAGCACTAATGGAAGAGCCATCCAGGCTCTGGCACTCCTAGGGTGGTAAGTTCATTTGGATCTGTCAGTCTCTCTGGTCTCCATTGTGATTGATTTCCCACAGCCTTTCCATGAAAAGGGGTGGAACTTTACACACAGTTAGGTCAGGTTAGACCATGGCTTCTTTTGCAATCTCTCAATTCTTCCCTGCATGTGTGTTCCCTTTGAGTACCCCTGCAGCACACACCTAGGCTGGGAGCCAGCTAAGTGACTGATGTCACTGCTGTGTCTTGAGATTATGCAACTGCCTTGAAGCAGAAGCATAACCAGGCACTGGGGTTGGGGATGAGCTTGCCCACCATGAAAATACAGCTCCAGTTTCATCAGTAAGATTTTCTCATTCTCTTTAGGAGAAGTAAACAGATTTGATAGCAGCAAGCCACGCCAGAGAAATGAGCACAGTGTCTGCTGGGTGGCCATCAGTGTTTTCTGAGCTTTTCATAATCACTCAAAATAAAAATTAAAGTTCCACAGCGAAGGTAGAAATCCACGTGGTTTCTGATCAGGGACAGGTCACATGGTTGGGGGGGGAACACAGCTCTTTGTGATGTGTTGGGCAATTATATTATTAAACTGATTGTTAGAAAATAACCGTTTCTCTATTTTTTTAAAACTGTGCTACATGGTACATGTGCTTTGTATGTGGATATTACATTGTAAATATTGCTTTGACATGACAAGGAAGCAGTGTTGCTATTGTTTTGATAAAGTATGCCAGCCCCCACAAACTAGAGGGCTGGTATAATACTGAGGCGTACAATACTTTACCTTTTGAGGGACACTAACTCTTGGTAATAGGATATACATAAATCTGCTACACAGCTCAGCTGTCTAGCCTCTGAGCGGAGTCTGGCAAAGCTCTCTTTTGCAGTCTCCTTGGGCTGAGATCAGTTAGCTGCCCTACTGTGTAGGCACGGATTATTATCATCTCACTCATTTGGCATCTTCTTCCTGATCTGGGATCTGGGGTTGGGACTGACATTCAAGACAGGTTACTCACCTCACCACCAGGAGCCCCAGGAAAGAGACTAAACATGGTTGTCTTTGCTCTGAGGCAGAGAAAGGGCCTTTTGCTTAAGAATCCTTTGCCCAGTCCACCAAAGAAAACATATAAGTCAGCTTGCTTTCAAAGGAATGAAGTGTCAACAGTCTGGGAGAAAATGACAAGCAATAAGACACAGTGCTCAAGGTGTAAAGAGACCGGTTTCATAAACCCCCTTGCTGGCTCTTTGGTTCTCAGA